AGAGATAACCATTCAGAGAACAAGGCAAACGATTAACAGGTTTATTGAAGGTGTAAACAGGAGTTGGATCTGGGAGTCAGTGAGCTGGTGACCCGGAACTGGAAGTGAGAAGGGAAGTTCAGAGGTCAGTTCAGGTACTGTGGGAATCTTGGAGGCTCTGAGTTTTTGCTAGGTGGGGAACTCACGTTTGAGGGGGGGTCTTATTAATCCTTCAATCCAGACTGTGTGGTAAATCCAGAGAAGGGTGCACACGTTGGAGGGCGGACAGATTGACAAACGCTGGACCCGGAGGAGGACTGTCACTCAGATTTCAGATGGGTACTTGAACAGAACATATGGAGGTTTTCCCCTACTCAGTGTAACTCGTTTTTTTCCTTCCAGGGGAGAGAAGGTCCAGAAATCCCTGTTACACAGGAAAGCTTCCTGTCGAAGAGCAAAGACAAAAACTCGTTAGACTCAGAGAAACAAAGCTAGGTTAGACTCAGCTAAACTTAGCTTAGCTAGAGTACCCAAAACTGGCAAACACTCTTGCCTCGAGGTAGTGACAGTCCACTGCTCAAATACTCCTCCAGATAATGATCCAACGAGCCACAGGTGTGCAGGGAGGGACAGCGAAGACAGGGCACCTCCTGGTGGTGGAAAACAGAGACACACAAACAGGCAACACAAATTGGATTCCTACCAATTGGATCAAGTCAGTCCAAAGAAACTAAATCTAACAGAAGGTTCCTTACGTTATTCTCCTTTAGTCCAGTAAGCCTTGTATTTGCTATGGAGGAAGATGCTGCAGCACAGCATACACGTCCACCTCTATGTGCTGTTTGGTAATGCCAGGGAGGATTTGGTCGGTTTTTTATGAACATAACCCCAATATTCTTCTCCACTGCACAACCCACAATCACATTTTATGTGCATGTGAGCCACAAAGTAGGTGAAAATAAACTGACTTTCCAATGTTATATGCTTCATTACCAAAAAGTAGAAGTAACAACAAAGCAATAATTGGCTTTGCCAATGTTTTAGTAGAGATGCCCCAATCCGATATTATCTGTATCGGTCTTGATATTAAAGGAACTTGTTTATTGAGTAATGGTGAAACTTACCCTGGTGGCAGATCTGGTCAATATTTTTAAATATTAAAAAGTTTGGTTAAAAACCTGTGGACCTGCAGAAAGGTTGACCATTTATGGTCTTTGATTTAATGATTGAACCCTTAAACTGAAAGTTTTCCTCTTAACTTGTTCACTTTAAATTTTTGTAACTTCCTTTTCTGGCCTTATGCTAATCTCAAGTTGCTTTATGGGACATAAATGTGTTTTTTCATATCATTCTTGCCTGTAAGGAGGAATTTTATTATGGTCTATTAAAAAAAATCAACAGTAAAAAAAAAGAAGCAGAAATTATACAAAAATTGTAAAAAAAAAAAAAGAAAAGAGATTTGTCACATTTTGCATTTAAAATGAAAATCTTTTTTCTAACGTCAATATGCTTTATTTTCACTAGGCGTAATTTTGCCATTATAAAGTCATCTTTAAGGAAACTTTTGCCATCCAATTAAAAATCAATTAATCAAAAAATATAGTTGACAGATTAATCGATTTGCAAAATAATTGTTAGTTGCAGCCCTACATTAAAACAAGCAGAATAGCATCAGAATCAGATCGGTGCATCTCTGCTTTTTGACATAGTGTTGGTCAAACCCAGTTTACAATAATGCATCTAACCAGTCGGGCAGCAGGCGAATGGGTTCGCTGCTTTTCTTTCCTCAACATTTGGTCAGATAGTGCTCCAAAAGGCTGTGGCTATAAAGAGTTCTTGGACGGGAAATCAGGCCACTGCTGACAAGTCTATTAACATCCACCCAAGAAAAGTGGTTTTATTTAGAGAGAACACTGGGACATTCTTTTTTTTTTTTCTCTATGTAGTTACAAAGCTACAAAGGTTTGGCTCTTGATGACGAACTGTGCCATTCAGGGACAATATTTACTGGTTTAAATTAAAGAGGAAAAAAACGTAAAAACAATTAAAGTCGCTTATTTTTGACCAGTCTCTCTCATTGTATTGCGCATTTAGGCAGAATAAAATGGGTTATGTTGCCTAACTGTATGTGAGCATTCACCCAACAGGAACTGGTTAGATTATGCATTCATGGCTCCAGTGTTAGAAAATATAAATTAGCTCCTTTTTTAAATATCTATGTGGCAGTTGCTGCTCAGCCAAGGCCAAAATGCCTGAGGACACAATGTAAAGCTGTCTGTGTATCCACAGACTACACACTAATCTTTAGAGGGTTGTTCTAACCACTTTTGTCTGAAACTCTGAAACAAAAATGTCAAATTTTCCTCAACCTAAAAGGAGCAGTTAGGATTTAATGCCTTAATTCTGCATTCATAGAGCCAGACTGAAGACTGGGGAAGTTTGCCTGATGAGGAGATCTTGTAAAGTTCTATCCTTGCCTCCATCCATTTCATTGGTAACTAGACTGGAGCAGTCAGTCATTCAAGCATGGTTTGTTTGTTTTTACAGTTCTGTGTGCAGTGAATTCCTACATGCCTGTCTGTGGAATTGTTTCCTAACTGATTGAAATATACATCATCAGCACTAAAAAGACTGTAACTGGCATGAAGTTGGCCATCATGTTTTCCATGTAGTCCTACTAATACGCAGTATAATGCAACACTTTATGATATACCGTAAATTCTCTAATATAGGCCCGGGCCTTTATTTCACTCAAGTGCATCGCGGTCCAGGCCTTTATTGGATAGAGGCCAGTATTAGAGACAGGCCTCTATTGCTATTTGAGCAAAACAGACTACCAGTGGAATGAATAAAAATGAGATTTTGTGTCTATTTGAACCTATAAAACACTAGGTTCATTTATTGAAAAAGTACAGTTACCATGTCTCGCTTGGTTTGAAGTAAAAAATAAAAATAAAAATCCTCCAATTCTGTTTAATTCTCCTCCTCAGTTTCCTCCTCCTCGTCATCTCTCCCTTTATTCTCCTCATCACTCGCGCTGCTCCTCATGTTCTGCTGCGTGTCTGTTCTCTTCCTCGCGCAGACGGGCAGCAGTCAGGGCCTGTCGTCCAGCTGCGCAGGGCTGTGGTACTTGTATGTTACTACCACAAGTATAATGTTGAGGTATGCCCAGAAAAAACGTTTATAGCCCCGGCCTGTATTAGAGACCGGCCATTATTTACCTCCTCTGACAGCGAGACCGGCCATTATTAGAGACCCGGCCGCTATTGGAATACAGGCCAATATTAGAGAATTTACGGTATATATAGTCATTGAAAGGTCATAATTATTGAGACTGGATTGATTTTTGACTCAACTCATTAGAGTAACATAGAGGACTGGAGCAACATCTGTGGAGTGGGAAACTGGAATAGTGATTCCAAATATTTTAGAAAGGGAACGAGAGAGAGATCAAACATCTAAACCTCCTAAAAAAAACTGCATGAAAGTGAAAACCTTTGCTTGTAGAGCTTACACTATATTTAGTGTATTCTATATACTTCTATGTTCAAATTAGATTTCTCTGCTAAAAGAGCAAGATTTTAAGGACAGGACAGATTTTTCTAACAAATGAATTTTTAAACTATGTAATTTAATTGTGTCTTGAATCTGGAAACCTAAACTTTATCACTTTGATGGTCACTATGATCACACACCCTAATAAAAGGTGAATCAGCTTTATGACAAACTATTCAATTTCAATTCAGTTCATTTATACTGTATAGCGCCAATTCACAACACATGAATTGGCGCTATACAGTTCACCAGATCATCCAGTGAAATTGATTCAAAGTTTTTCATCTAAGAAAAAGTAGTTGATTGCATCGACTCATTGACTCGAAGGCAATCCCTCACACTAAGCATGCTTGTAGCGACAGTGGAGAGGAAAAACTCCCTTTTAACAGGAAGAATCCTCCAGCAGAACCAGGCTCAGTGTGAGCGGCCATCTGCTGAGGCCGACTCAGCAACTGAGCAGATACAAAAAGCAGTCGTAAAAGGCGGCCCCGTCCAGGAAACGCACAGCCAGGCAGACGAGCTCAGAGCCAGCTCCCATGCCAGAGGATGAAGAGAGCACATCCAGCCAGTCACAGTCAGAGAAACAGGACTACACTTAAAAAAAGTCTGATCTCCAACATCTATAAACAAAGGTGTTGATGGCAGCAGCACAGATAATATTTACCTCCAGGATGGAGACAAAGCAACCCTCGAAGTTGAAAATCAGGCTTCCTTTCTCAGGCTGCACTGAGACTACAATTTACGCTTTTTATTGAGTAAACAACAATGCATAAAATTTAGAACCAGAACAAAATCAATTATGCAACAAAGACCCAAGCTCATTAGCTATATATTATTTTTATTGGGATCTGTTCTCTTGTTGTAGTTGTTTTACAATCAAAGCAGCAATCAGACCAAATTAAAAGAAGACCTCCTGTGGTGAAGCTGCTGCAAGTTATACAAGGAGAAAACAATTGAACTCCGTTTGACAGAGCAGCGGAGTAATCAGGGTACACAGCTGGAGCTTTTAAAGAGCTAGTTTTACAGTGGAGTTACACAAGACGAATAGAAACCCAGCAGAACTCTGAGCCGTGCATCAGTGCAGGGGCAGGTGGGGGGTTTATTTTGTATTTTGGGACTCGTTGCCTTGTTTTTCTAGGCATTAGTAAGGGCCCAGTAATTAGATTGAAAACATACCACAGAGGATTTAGCGTAAGCTATTTTGATAAGTTTATAATGAAATTTTTCTCAGGATCTGACCCTTACTTTGGAGCCAGCAAGCAGATCCTGTTCTTTAGGATTAACAAAGCCTCAGAAAATTGATTGGTCTGCTCACTTCTGCGTGGAAGGCACATGATAGGTTGAACCGAAATGTTGCTGCTGCAGTTGAGCCTTTATGCTTGAGCATTTTCTGTAGACATGTCATAGATTAGGTTGGTAGATTTAATCCAACAGTCATTGTCCTTATAAACATGTTTGCCTCACAGGTGTGATGGTCCCAAATATGGCATCAGAAGCTTCTGGTCTTTTCCAGAATTAGGCCAGCTAAGGTGACTACTTTGTGTCTGTGGATATAGGCTAACTGTAAAGCTAGAGCCTGTAGCTTTGTTTTTGTTGTGTCTAAATATTTCTGTGCACAGTTTTATGAATGTGTGTGTAGCTCAGTGAAACAGTTTTCCTAGTGCCCTCCCTGGTTTCTAGTGTCCTCAATGTTGGCACTGTGCAAAAAAACTGTTTTGTGTTCATTTATGTTTTTGTTACTTCTTAACAAAAATGTATGAACAAGTTTAGATTCGCTTTGCACAACGTTTTGACTTGAGATACATTCACTGACAGCCTCAGATAGTGAAACGCTGCAAAAGGTAAGTGTTGGTACAGTTTTACTGTTTGATTTCACATAAATCCCCCACTGTTTATGATGTCATCGCTTCATATTTTGTGACATTACAAACACAAACCTCCGTACAGTGTCTGGATTTTATTTTGATGGGCCAAAAGTGAAGGGGGAGGAAAATTATGCTTTTATTTTTTTTTATAATTATTTCTTTTGGGGGGGGCAAAGACACAGCTTGGGTGGAAAAATAGGTCAGCAGGACAGCTTCTAGCCTTGCATTCCACAAAATCAACTTTAATAAAGTAGATTATTATTATTAGAGACCAGTAGGAATGCCTTGTTGCACAATAAGAGTAGCCAACACATTGAGCATCTTGGAAAAGGTGGTTTATTCATTGCCTAGACTGAACTTTTTCATCAAAGGTTAAATAGCCATGCTGTATTGCTTTTATTCTTATTTTTTGTGCGGATGAGATGGTTATGTTTAGCCTCGTGAGACCATCCTGATCTCGCGAGCTTTCAAGATTTCACTTGCTAATCAGTCTGGAGACTCTCCGTTGAAGAACATTTGGAGCCGTTCACCAAACGAACGTCCAATCAGCGTTGGCTTTGAGGCGGGTTGAGGTGTGACGCAACGAGAAGCGCGACAGTTCAGTCTAAAGAACATGGCGGCTTCAGCCGATGAAACTAGCGTAAGCATGGCTATCGAGCAAGTTTTATCGGAATTACAGAGTATTTCTTCACTGAAAGAAGAGCAAAACACTGCTCTGGAGGCTTTTCTCAGAGGAAAAGATGTTTTTGCTCTTCTCCCGACTGGTTTCGGGAAGAGTAGCCTGGCTGTTAGTACGTCATATGCTTCCTTGATCTGATTGGTTTATTTGGCCCGTCTATCACCAACATAGGCCAATCAGCTAACCAGTATCTTCGGCCCTTCCCAAAATTACTTCAACCGAAGGTTTCCAGATGGATATGCGGAGCAAATCTATCTGCCGGAGTCAGGTTAGGTTACGTTAGCTAACATAACTGGATGATAAATTAATTTGTTCCCTTGCTGTATCATTTTTATATAAGTAGATATGATTTCTTTATTTTTGTTCCCAGTTTAGTTTTTCTGCATATTTTGGATTTGTTTTTGTTTTGTTTTCCTCTTTGTTTGCTTAAATATATCAATAGTTTTTATATATTATCCAGATTTTAATAGCAAGAAAAATCAAAGTGCTCTAGTCATATATGATTCAGTTTTGTCTTTAGTCTTACGGCGTATCTAAATATTGTGACATTTTAGTCATTTTATTCCAAAAGAAACTCAGTTACCTTTAAAGCAAAGCTGCTTCTTACCGTCTGGCCAGTTTCACGTCTTAACAAAGTCCGATACCCCTCGAGGCTAAAAAAAAAAAAATGATTTTAACGACAAAAATTAGCTTAAAAAGAACACTTGCTGTGCCTCTGCAGATCAGCTGCTAATACAGCCAATTTATCTTACGAGTTGGAATCATCGCACTCTGCCTCACATCCCCCCTCCCTGATGGGAGAAAGTGGGCGTTTGTTTGCGGTGCAGGCACAGCGGGGTCAACATAGGTGCTGCCAGGGAGGCTTAAATCAGAAGTTATTAGGGTTACTTAGACATGCGTTGAGTGAAATATGACTCTGTGCATCACTTTAATGAAATAATAACATTCTGGCATTGTCAAAAGCTTAAAAATGTTGATTTTTCATGATACAGGCCCTTTAAAAAATATCAACATATAATCTTTAGTCCATGTTATCCAGCTGAAATGGAACTGTTGAGATTATATTCATGTACAAGAAATGGTCTAGTCAAAGTCTAGTACTAAATCTAATTAAAAATTTAATAACAATCCTAAACAAATCCTGATGATTGAAGCTCTCTGTTCAGTTTGACTTGGCTTAAGATACTTGCTAAGAATAGACCAATCATTTTGTAGATGTGCAGAGTTAGAAATGTCCCAAAGTTTGCTGATTTAATCTTTAGTTTTGATTCTATAAACTATTAATTTAAGGGGTTTGGGGGAAAGATTTTAGAGAATATGTTTGGTTTTTCCTTCTGTCTCAATGTTGGTCCGTCACATAAAATCCCAATAAGATGCAGTGAGGGCTGTGGTTGTAACTTATGTGAATGATGCGTTTTCTTCACCTGCTGCTCTATCCTGCATGTCCGGCTGCTGAAGAAGCTGCTATGGAGGCTTTTACCACTGAGTGTTACTTTGTTGTTCTAAGCTGTGTGCATTTCTCTCCCTCAGCCCCGTCATGAGTACTTTAATGTGCCTGTGTACTGATTGGCTGCCATCTGCTGCTGCTGCTGCTGTCCAACCCTGCATGCTGAGCTTCTCAGTGCCTGGCACCTCTCTTTCTGCCCCCTGAGCACCTGAAAGTAAATCTGGGGGGTCGTCTCAGTTTGTCGAAGTATGGTCCAGGATGTAAACCACTGGTGAAATTCTGTGGTGACACTGTGGACCAGATCTTTTTAAGGACCTAGAAAGCATTGCTTTTAAATCAAACTGCAGATTGAACCGTTAATGTTTATTTTGATGCATTATCCCATGTCTGTCATTCGTCTGCTATATTTTATATTTTATTTTTATTTCCAGCTCATTTATCAGATGTTTATGACTGTAAAGTAGTAAATTATCATCCTGTGTCATCGTGGTCAATTTGTTTGTTAGATCTTTTTGACCAAAAGTTGCTCTTAGTTTTGCTTAATTTGTGTTTGAGATGCTAAAAAAGCTCTGAATAGAAGACAAAGCAAAAAGGAATTAATTTATGTAAAGTTAACAAACTAATCACACTCTTCAATCAGGGTGGAAAATTTTAAGCATTTATTTTAGTTTAAATAAGACACATAAGCTTATATGTTTTTCTAGATGATTGTCCTGTCCTGGCTCTGTGGGGAAAGCCTGCCCCCTGCTGTAGAGACGAAGAACACTTTACTTTACTGTAAACATAGACTATCCCAACAGTAATTGTTAGTATATCCTCAGATGGTTCATTTTCTGTTTTTATCTTAATTAATTTTTGTGTTCTGTTAGAAGATTTTATTCTGACTTTGCATTTTATTTTGTCTAAATTGTGCTCTGTGTCATGGCGACAATGAGTTTTATAATAAATCATTTATAATAAATAATAGATATAAATGTATAATTAAGTGCTTTTAGATAAATAGTTATAATAATACTAATAACAAATGTATTTTGCAATGAATAAATAAATGCAGATTGAGCATTATTCTCAATGGAGTGTATCATTACTAAAGGTTTCTACAGTCTAAATATAAGAAGCATGTTTGGACCATCATGATAAATCAAGGGTTGCAATAATTTAGTTTTTTGTTTGTTTTGTTAAAATAAATATTTCTAACCATTAAGCAGTGGTATTGTTCCTATAAGTTTTGGAATTTTAACGTGCATTTTCCAGGTTGTGGGTTAATAAAACACACAGGCAGATGTTTCCTGATGTAATTTGATCTGATTTTGTTTTTATGTGTGCGTCAGAAACAAACCGAATCATTTCAAACAATAAGAAACTGACTTGAATGGATACATATACTGTGGAAGTTAAAGGTGGTATCATCATTCCCTTAGTATAAAACAGTTTACTAGATGGCTACCAGAATCAGATGGATCTATATGTAGATTATATAAGATTGCATGTGAAAACAAAGATTAACTTTGACTAGGGCACAAAATGTCTACAACTATACGTTCTTATCTAAACCATTTGATTGTAGTTCTGACTGTAATATTTGGCAGGATTGTTCTGCTGGAAGAGGACCCTCCTTCAGTCTAAAAACCTTTTCAGCCTCTAACAGCTTTCCTCCCAGGATTGTCCAGACTTTAGCTCCATCCAGCTTCCCATAGTCTCTAACAGACCTCTATTCTTCTCCCTGCTGCAGACAGCCGTCCACACAGCATGATGCTATCCCCACCGTGTTTCCTTGTAGTGATGATGTCAACATGCTGATGTCCAGCATCAATTTTCCGTGCCAATATTTTCTGTTTGGTCTCTTCTTTCCAGAGTCTTCCTCCACTTGTTGTTCCCCCATACTTTGCTTATTGCAAACTGTGAACAAATCAATTTATTTCTTAATAGCTACTTTGTTCTTGATGATTTTGTGTAATCTTATTTAAGTAAACTGTTAAAAGTTTTTCTGTCAACTTATTCTCCTGCAGCTCCTCCAAAGTTACCATGGGCTTCCTAGCTGCCTCTCCAATCAATGTTTTCCTTTCATCTAGTGTTGGTGGGGGTTGATGGGGTATGAATGCATAACATGTTGCATGTTCAGTTACTGGAGTGAGGAGTATTGCCATAACTTTTAGAAAAAATTCTTGCCTTTTTGGAGCATATGTCTCCCAGCTTAACATTCATCTTTTCAGCTTTTTGCATTAAAGATATGTGCAGACTTTACAGATGCACCTCTGCTGAAATGTCTAGTTTGTTTCTCTCTGTGTGAAGATGATTTTCTGTCTTACTGCTCTGATGAATTTTCTCTCTTTACCTTGGTGCTGAACCCTGGTTTAGGATGCCAAAGTAAGTCTCTCTCCTTATTTTTTATTTTTTTTTATTTGCCACAAACTAGGACCGGTCCATATAGCTTAAAAATCTAATCTCCGATTTTTTTCATACCAAATCTGGTTTATTTTTTTCTCACTTATGTCGATAATGAAAATGAAAAAATGTACATATATTGCTTTCAAAACCTAGTTTGGATTTCAATCATCCCCTCTGGAAGGTGACATTAATTTAAAAAGCAAAGACATTTAAGCAGTGACATTTGCTTGTTAAATAATCGTATTTTACAGTAAACAATGAAAATATGACACATGAAATGTTTGCAGGTAGGGGTATCACACAATGAGCTAGTTTATCAGACATGATAACAATACATAAACTGAATTGAATTGACTAAGTACACATCTAAGGGCTATGGAAGCCCAATGAATTGGTAAAATAATTTTTTTTTTCTTAAACGAACCCATATGACTTCCTAGACAATGTGAAGACAGCTCTGCAGAGTAACATTAACTTCTGACATCTCTACTTCATCTCTGGAACTATTAAATAATTATTTATTTAGAAAATAAGACCAAAGTTTGTCTGCTTTATGCCTGGTGACTTTAATTGACATAACAACCCGGGTTCGACCTGTATGCGGGCTCCCTGTGCCAGTTATTCTTTTCATTTAGACAGAAACATGACTGTAGATCACGGGTTTGCCCCCTCTACCATCCAAAGAACCATTATTGCTCTTAGTCCACTTATTAAAACACCTTTAGAGCTCTAAATAAAAAATCTACTTTTAAAAAAACCTTTATAAAGAAAATTCAAATCGTATGTGATATTTGTCATACAATTTAAAGTCAGCATTATATTTTTTTGTTTTAAATGAAGGAAAAGCGTAAATTTTAAAAAGAAAAAATAGGATGGAAACATTAGAAATATTGAAATATTTTTGTAGAATAAAAGTCCATGGTTTCTATGACGAGTAGAAAATTGGATCTAAGAAATTATTGCTATTACATTTTAGTGTCATTCGGTGAAATGCAATGCAATTATTCTCCATTTCTCATTACAGTAAATCCTTTTTATTTAACATTATAATTTTTTATCATGTTAAACTAAAGAGCCTTTGTGGAAAGTCTAAAGAGCCACAGGTTGCAGTATAAGTAATATCTGCATGATACCAACTTCTAATTAGGAGTAGTAAAACAATTATCCCAGCTGTTGAGCACAGTGGTTTAGAAAGACGATGATATTAGCAAGGAGGAAGTAAGATAGATAGTTTAAATAAAGTTTACTGGATGAATGCCAGAACAAAGGTGAAAGAAGAAAAGTAATGAGCAGGCAATGATATCACACTGCAAAAGAGGTAAAATAGGCCTTTTGTGTTATAAAAGGTTATATATGTCTAGAACAGGGGTCACCAACATGGTGCCCACAGGCACCAGGTAGCCCCCAAGGACCACATGTGGTACCCTCAAGCCTGTTCTAAAACTAGCATAACCTTCCAGTGAGCTGCCTCTAAAAGGTTATTTTAGTCTGTTGCTTTACTTTTGTAATCACACTGACACTTCTACAGATTTAAAAATGAGAATATTTAAATTAAATAAAGCATTGCAAATATGTTTGCAATGCTTTATTTGAGTGATCAAATCTAGAACAGACGATGATCAATTAAAACATTACTTAAAGTGTCTGGTTGGATAAAATGGATCAATAACTAATGAAGAGCCTGAAATACAGATCAGGCGGTACCTTTTCTACTAAAGCTGTGTCACTTGATGAAACTTAGAGCTGTTCTTATGCAAAATAAGATTCTCTATTTCAAGAGATCTTCTTTAATGTTTACCAGGGTCAGCCTCTACTGACAGATTCTTTCTATAAACCTTTTGGTTCAAAATATAATATGAAACTTTTTTACTACTGGCCTATTGAGTCTGGGAAAAAAAAAACTTTTTGTTTCACTCGTCCTGATGCAGAGTTCATGTGATGAATGGGAATACACCTAATACCCGCTAACAGGACAGATCCAGAAACATTTTATCTTAAGGAATGGTGATGTTTTAAATGTTACAGAAACACCAACCCACTCTAATTCAATCATTTAAGTAATAAGATACATACATCTCCTCCTGTCTTCATCCAAACCACAGAGTCTGGCTATGTGTTGTTTATATAAAACATTTAAAACTGATTCATGTGAGTTTAGTTTTATAAAAAGTGTGGCCTAGAATAAGCTGTGCAGGTTGTGTTACATCTACAGTGCTTTCTTCCCCTCGTGCTTCTACATGGTTTGTCACATCATAGCCATCATAGTCACTTTAATGCCCCCAAAGAAAGTCTAGTGCAAGTAAATGCTTTAAGGGTTCACTTAAATGCTTGATGTTCTATTATGAAACAAACAGCATTTTGGAGACTTGGGAGCGAACACAAAGAACAGGTCGACTAAAGCAAGGGTAGCTTTTAATAATATCCTAAGCTTTGAATAACTCTTTAAACTATCATAATATTGACAGAGTCATGTCAAGCTCAGGACTTAAGGATCCAGTATTCTAAGCAGACAAACAGGTTTCTCAAAACATTTATTGAAAACTGATACAGGGTGAGCGGGGTCGGCATCTTATGCTACTAATAGACCGCACGCGATAGAAGCAGCCAAAAAGTGCCTACTTCTTTATTTTCTATGCGTATACATATTAAGGTATGACGCGCCTCAAGTGCATCTTTGGCCTTCCTAAAGCTCGTCCAGAAAAGTGTGTCCAGATGAGTCAGATGCTTTTGCTCCTCCTGTATTCAATGGCAGAGAGCGGCTTTGCTAGGTTTACTGTTTTAAGTGGGTAAAAAGTAGTTTTATTATGTTTTTAAGTGAGAAAGTCAATCTGAAAACATCACTTGTGCAGTCATTTTATAAAGATTACAATCCTGCCTTACAATATTATTTCCCTCTTGGACCAGCACAAAATCCCTGTACACTGGAAAACCCCAGCAACAGTTGCCTCTTGACTGGTTGCCTCTTTGGGCTTTTCTGCTAATGTTTAAGGCGGCTGGAAGGCGGTTTTGATGTACTTAATCCAAACTGCTGGGGCCAGCATAACAAAAGCGACTATATTTTGCAAGCAGGTTTCGACATTTTAATTTTGGTGTTAATAAACTGTTTCAGAGGAGAGACTGTAGTTCTCTGCATCAGCAGTGCTGTGTCTGTCTCCCTGCCAGCTCCCAGATCAGCTTCTCTGATTGGTTGATGAGGCACTTTGAGCAGCAAAAGTAAAATTTTTACAACTCCAGCAGCTGCTGTTTGTGAAGCGCGTCACGCAGATACTCAGAAGCTCATGAGGTGCTGCTTCAGATGCTTCGATGCCTCAAGATGCGCTGCTCCTGCTGCTCGAAACACACTGCAGGACCTTTTGATGCACCTTGATGTGCGTCAACCATTGACTTTGCATGTAAAACAGCTGCTATTGCTGCCACTATCGCGTTTGGTCTGAACAAAGCATAAGGCAGGAACCTCTGCAAGAAGAGACAATATGTCAGTAACCACGTCTTTCTGGAAGTTAATGATAAAGAATGTGCGAGTCACTAACCTGGTCTTATAGTTCAGTCCAAATGCTCAGGAGTCAGGGCCAGAAGGTCAGCATTAGATCCGGAGAGGTGATGAGGGAGAATCCAGGATGGAGTTGGGTCACAGTTCCAGGTAGAGTACTCAAACCGGCAGAGATCCAGCAGGAGTCAAAAGACAGATCAGGCAAACAGATCAGACAGGAACAGGCAGGCTCAATCAATCAAAACCCAGGAACGCTAGAATAAGTTTCACCAGTGGCTCGAAATATCTGCACTGATGACTGGTCTGATGGCGGGTTAAATAGAGACTAATGCAGTTGCATCAGATAAGCAGGGAATGAGAACTGGGCAAAGCTATGCAGATGTGTGAAATTAGTTATCAGACCAGGCATCAGTGCCAAGATCATGACAGACAAACCAACAAAGGCATGGCTCTCCATCTAAACTGACAGACTGGGTAAGGAGAGGATTAGTCAAGGAACAAGCCAAGAAATGTAGAATAATTTTGGAGGAAACTTTATGTAAAGATCCACTGTCCCGGAGGAAGAATTTAAACAGGACCACTAATATTTCATTGACAGGTGGTAGAAAATTTTACTTCTAATGGATTAAGTGATGGTGGCAGCATCATAAAGATGGTGGTAGAGGTTCGCCTTTGGGTTGGATTGGCCCGGTCTTGTCAGAATTTGGGAATTTGTAGCTAAATTTACATATATTACTATGGTCTCTTTGATATGTTGAAGGTTCTTCTTTAACATATCAATGATTTTAAATACATGTCACACATTTTAGAGGTGAATTTTAAACCACCTTCCTTTTATGTCAAAGCTATCCTGTTGTTTTATGTTGGTTTATAAATAAAATCCTAGAAAATGACATCAAAGTTGGTGGTTGTGACGTGGCAAAACATGGAAATAGTTCACAGGGCATCGTACCTGTCTGGATGGTGTTGACTGACTTGTGGTTCTTCCCCCCACAGGATGCAGAGACGCCCCGCAGTGTGCTGGAGGAAATTGGACTCACATAAACATGGTCTCCATCACCGCCACCTTGCTTCGGCCTCAGACCCCGTCCTGTGCTGGCTACGGTTCCAAGACGACCACATAATGACCGTTTTGCCATGTTTACTAGTTTTCTACTTTTATTTTTTCCATACTTTGTTATGTCAGTGGTCGGAGCGATTATATAAAAGGTGAAATAGGCAAATAATGATAATAACTATATGTTTTCTGTCAAACAATTGAAAAAACTGTGTCATATTATTAAAAGGGAAGTCAAAGGTATTACGTTAGAACCAAAGAGTATAGCTTCATCACTGGGAAGTCATTTTCAGCCTATATTTTTACAATGAAGATCTGTGTAAATTAAAATGTACTGTTTCAGCTGAAATAAGAGACTTAGACTTTAGACATAGAAAGATTTATTTAATCATTTTGTATACAAGAGTGTATACAAAAAGAAATTTCATTTAAAACAGCTCTAGACAATTTCATTTTTCCAATAAATAAAAGCTGCGTTAGTTTACAAACTCACACCACTCTGATCAGTTTAACTTTGGCTCTACATACAGTAGATTTAAAATAAAATGCCTTAAACCACTGAATAATATTTATTATTTAGAACTTATTCAATTTATATGGCATCAATGTAGCAGGTTAAGATATTTCGTGTAAAGGCCAAGAAAATGAGCTGACTGTTGTTTTTCATTGAATGTATACAGCTACAGCACTTTTCATTCATTTTGTATTATATGATGGAAAATCAGCGACATTCAGTGGCTGCTTTCATTTCAGAAATAAGGGAATCAATTGTTAAATAATCTCTCATTGCAGATACTGAATTAGGGAGTAAAAAAATCCAACAAAGCAGGAAGTTTAGCAGTTTTTTTGCCACATGCTGCAAGAAGTTAAAGAAAGAAAGTTGAAATTGAACTAACATGAAGATATAATTTAATTAATAGATCGATGTTAACGTAAACCTTCATCTCCTCCAGATTAATGGGCTGTATGCCCAGCTCCATTGCTTCCTGAACTTCAGCTGCCCCTTTGTGTCTTTTATTACTTGACAAACTAATTCATTCAGGTGTGTCTGGCCAATGTCGTCATGGTTACTGAGGTCAGACACACCTGGATAAATCAGTCAGTCCAGTGATGAAAGACAGGAAACAAAGGGCCTGTCCCAATCGGTGGCTACTCCCTCGCTCTACCCACTTCTAACTCGGTTTGCATGTGCTCGTGGGGGGCTGACATATTAAAGGGGAACACCATTTTTTTGCATTGGCCCCTTGATTTTACGTTATTACATCATGTTCTTCTCACCCATAGGAGTTTTGTGTCATTTGGAGCCGTTCTGAAGATATACCGTTAGGTTATATCCAGGTAATGTCTTCCTATGGGCAACTACTTGAGGGCACAAACTAAAGTTCATAATTTATTCTTTATGGTACGCCAGCATTCATAACATGTAGGCGAATCACTGTTCCCCAGACATCCGCGGCTATATTTTTTATATTTATATTTTTTAAAACAAAGTGCCGCGTGTATGAGGTCATCCGTCATACGCTCTACCCCTTCTATTCGTTCGGCTAGCTAATATGAATCGTTCAATTCCATTTGGAGAGCGAGATCATCTGTGGTAGCAGCACTAGACATCTTCCAGGCATGTGAGTAATACTAGCAGCAGTTCAGCGGACAGGATGAATGAATGGTAGACGGCGCGCGCGGATGACGTCATACACACTACGCTTTGTTTTTTAAAAGATATAAATATAAATATTGGCGTACCATAAAGAATAAATTATGAACAGTTAAGTTTGTGCCTTCAAGTAGTTGCCCATAGGGAGACGATACTTGGATATAACCTATATATCTTCAGAACAGCTCCAAATGACACAAAACTAATATGGGTGAGTAAAACATGATGTAATAACATAAAATCAAGGGACCAATGTTAAAAACAAATGTGTTCCCCTTTAAGTCCCGTCTGAAACATACAAGTGAGGGTGGGTTCTAATAGCCTCTTGAGACCATCCTGATCTCGCGAGCTTTCAAGGTTTCACTCGCAGATCAGTCTGGCTACTCGTTAAAGAAAATTTGGAGCCGTTCACCAAACGAACGTCCAATCAGCGTTGGCTTTGAGGCGGGTTGAGGTGTGACGCAACGAGAAGTGCGACAGTTCAGTCTAAAAAACATGCCGGCTTCAGCCGATGAAACTAGCGTTAGCGTGGCTACCGAGCAAGTTTTATCGGAATTACAGAGTATTTCTTCACTGAAAGAAGAGCAAAACACTGCTCTGGAGGCTTTTCTCAGAGGAACAGATGTTTTTGCTCTTCTCCCGACTGGTTTCGGTAAGAGTAGCCTGGCTTGTGGTTGTGTTTTCGTCGTCGGTCTGTTAGTACGTCATATGCTTCGTTGATCTGATTGGTTTATTTGGCCCGTCTATCACCAACATAGGCCAATCAGCTAACCAGTATTTTCGCCCCTTCCCAAAATTACTTCAACGGAAGGTTTCCAGATGGATATGCAGAGCAAATCCATCTGGCGGAGTCAGGTTGGGGTTCTAAGGCCCTCCACAGCGAGTGAGGATCTGCCTCCCACTCAAGCAGCAGGTGAAACGCCAAACTGTGGGCGGCATGGAGGACAGGACGTAACTTCCACATACAGTATGTGTAAGAAACTCCTTATAAACTAATATTAATTCACATCGGCTATAGAAACCTTGCTGTTTAAGGGGCAATTGTTTAAAAAAGTTATCTCACTGTTTGTTACAAATGAAGTCCTAACTGAAAACTTTAAAAAATGTGGCCCTAATTAAATATTTTCTTTGCTCTATTTAAGTAACCTTGATGTTGTGATTTATCATTGCAGGGTACATCGGCTAAACTCAACAGCACACATTTAGTCACCTGTTGATGCAAGCATACGGTGCAAGAATTGGAAAAAACTACTGAGGTCCACTGAAATATTTTATAAAATAACACAAATATATACAAAATGTTCTGTACATAAAAAAAAGAAGAAAAAAAAACATGTTGCATTAATTTAATGGATTGAAACATTATAGATCGAAACCAAACATCCTTAAAGTCTTTACAAATTCCACATAATTTGATTCAATAGATGCTGTAAATAATTTCTAATTAGGACAATAAAAATAGAATGAACATGGGACCTCTATAATGTCTTTGTTGCTTCTGAATTAATCATTTTCATGGTCATTGTTTAAAGAAGTGAATTGTTGCTTCAGTAGGAACAATGATGCTCTGTTACATTCTTTAGCCTCCAACGGTTAAAGGATCCAGAGGTTCGTCCTGTTTCTCTCCTCTCTGCCTCTCAGGTCAGCTGGGATCACAGCTGGTCAGAGGGCTGATGAGAAGAGGGGGGCAGGAGGGAGACGAGTGGACCTGTCTACAGAGCTTTTTAACCTCTTGACGCCCATTGTTGTCATTTTGCAACAATCACTTTGTATTACGTACACCCAAGATTGCATTCCCCCAGTACCAGTTATTATTACACATTCGGTGTGGACATAGGAACCTTTGGAAAGCTCTTGTTTCCATTACAACTGGTACCTAATCGTGTGTGTGCTATCATCGGCTATTATAAATGTCACAAATCTGCAAACCTACAATTGTGTTTGTTGAAAGATTTAAAAAAACAGTTTGGCAATGAGTTAAAGGGAAATAACTTTTTTTGCAATCTCAGGCTGTGTCCTTTTATGGATAAAGTTTGAAATACGACATTTCTTTCACTCCTCTTACCCATTGTGATCCTTTTACTGGAGGAGGGATCCTTAATTCCCACAAACAATATCTGCAAAATGAGTTTTGACGCGGTATTAAACTCTTGATCAACAACAGGGTGACAAAAATCATCTAAACTCATCTAAAGACCAACGATTAAATCCTTTTTTTTAAAACTGAATTAATTTAAAAAAGAGTCTTTTAGTGATATTCTAATTTATTAAGATGCACGATTTCACAGTAACAATGAATGTTAATCAATCAGAGGAATAAGGATGATTTTTACCAAATGAATAAATGATGACACACTGTGGAAAATATAAACTGCCTACGGAAAACTGTGATCATAGAAAAAAAGTTCAGTAGTCATATTAATAAAAATCAGTAGAACCGTAATAAAGCTTCACAGTATGGAAAGTGCTTTTATGCATTTATCCTGTTATTCTTAACCATTAATTCAGGAAGAAAAAAAAATTTAAATAAAACATAAAATGCCTTGGACGCAGGACTGTAATGATTATCTTATAAATTTCCATCCTTCTGTGTATCCTGTCTGATTTTATAAGCAGGTTAAACTTAAATTCTGCTATTTACTTTATTTCCTCTAACTCCTGATTGGTGTTTTTCTTCTCCGGGACTTTATGTGACTTAAAGTCTATGTGTTGTGTTTATAGTGAAATAAAACCTGTGCAGTGCTCAGTGGGAAACTGTTTGAATGTTGTCTTTTTTTTTTCTTTTCTTCTTACAGTCAGTCATTAATTCGCTGTAATAGACATGTTTCCACTCAGTTGTCCTTTCTTCATTTCTAGCAATGCATCAGTTTTACAGGGAGATTAAAATTTGTGATGTAAGATGGCTGATGGAAAATTCTCTAACAATATTTAGTTGATGAAAAACAAATGAATAAAACATAAATTTAAAGTAGAGCTAACATTCAATTGTGTGAGGTCTTTTTTACATTGTAGGATCTCAGGGAAACAGAATAATTGTGTGTGGAAGGTTACATTATGGAATATTTTCGGAATTCACACAGGATCTAATATATGTATAGCAACCAACACTACAGAGACTTTTCCCTTCAGAGTTTATTTGTAGTTGTTGGTTACCGTGCCATGGACGAGGCTTTTAAAGTCTTTTCTTTGTCAATAGGGTTTGAAGTCAGGGCTTTAGCAGAGACGTAATGTTTGTCTGCTTTCTTTCATGTAAAACTGGTTTGGCTACAATGTTCAGGAACAATCCAGGAACCATTAAGGCTCAAAACAATCAAAAAACAGAAGATGACCGAAACCAGTGTCAGTCTCCACAGAAGAGTCAGTTTAACATCAGCATGGACTAAGGCAGCCAACCAGGATGGAAGCTTCTCTTTCAAAATCAAAAATGTTTTGTGGAAAAACCCTTTAAAGGAGGCAGAAGAGACAAAGTTTGAGCCATTTGACTACAGTATAAAAGTATGATTTAAGAAGTCAAGTTTAATATTTCTAAACTGGGAAAGCTATACTATGTCAGGCATGGTGGTGGCAGCATCCTGCTGAGGGATTGTTGGCTGCCAAACCTTCTGGTGCTGTTTATAAATGGGGGTTCTTCCTACCAATTCCTTCACATTATATCTAATAAAGCAGACTACCAACCTTAACCCTGCAGTAATTGTTCATATCAAATGCATTGATTATGCTTCTTTTTCTGGGTCAGGTCCAAACAAAGACAGTAATATATTTAAATGAGCTCTACCATTCTTGACATTACAGTAGGTGTGATTTAATATCCAGCCAGTTTGACACATCCTAAAGAAAATCTAACCAAAATCTAAGATAAAAATAAAGACTAAAACACACTTGTGTATACAGTTATTGTTGTGAAAAATATAATTTAAATGTTGTAGATTAATTCTACTGTGAAATAATCTGTTCAATACATTATTAAATGTAATAAATACATTATTTCACCAACAGTCTAGATTTTATATCAGATGATTATCTTTTTAATCTTATTTTATGTGTTGTATCTCCACAAAATACCCTGAGTTAGTGAGGTAAAATATGAAATATATAATGACATCTATTATATAGCTATATCTCTAGATTGCACAGTTAGCCAGCACCAGATACATGTACTTTTATCACTTAAAAATGAAATAAACAAACAAACACATACATCTTTAAATAAATACATGACAAGCATTTGTCCTAATAGTGCACTCATTGTGTGCACTCACAATATCGATGAGCTAATTTCAATAACATTGATTAAATGTTAATCATTGTTAACAGTTTTTTTTTTTTTTGTAAAGAAAACAAAACTGAAACACAATGCTTCCATTGTAACTATATGGAAAAAAAAACAATAACAAAAAGTAATTACATTGATTTTTTTATCATGTTTTTATGCATTAAAACTATGTTGTTAATTGCATCAGGCCTTATTGATGTGCTGGTTATCTTCATTAAATGTCATGGCGGACATTTTCTCTGCTTTAAGTACTAATATAACAATCACCTGATAGCAAACATTACACTGAGAAATAATGTACATGTACAGGTTATCCTTAAATACTTAAAAT